AATTTATTGCAGACTTTGGTAACTTGTGATATTGTTGAGATCTCTTATGAAACTTTCCTGGTGTTTTGGAACATTGTAACTGGTTTGTAACTGGTAAGATAGTCATTAGTTAGTCAAAGATGGCCATTAGCTGATGCAAGTGTTCGTTTAGCATTATTTTTACACTCTAATAGTATTTATTCAGTAGTGAATTAGCTTTTATTTTTGTTTTCAATTTTAGTTTGGTTCAGTCATTTTGTTATGTGCTTTTGTCATTTTTATTATTTTTATATTTCTATTTAGCTCGGTTTTAGTAATTTTAGTACATCAACTTAAAAGTTTTACATCAGTTTTTTATATTTTATTTCAGTTTTATTAACAACACTGTCAACGTTTAAACAGCTACAAGTTAATCTTTCCAACTTAAAGTAAGGTTAAGCTGGTTTTTGAAACATGGTAGCTGGCTAACCAGCTAGCGCCATTAACTAATGAGCAGCTGTTGACTAACAACTTTCCAAAACCCAGCAACTAGTATGAGATTTTACAGAGAATACTATAATAAGGGTTGTTGTTTTTTTAGAAGAAAAACATAATTGACTCAAAAGTGCTTTCAGCTAGCTATTTTGCTAACTCCCACCATTTTGCTAAATTCAACCACATGTCCTCCTTTCAAATCCCATCTAAAACATGTTAGCAAAGCAGATCAGCAATCATGAACATCATGCAAAATGGTTCACATGTAGAGAGCGTTTCTGATAGGCTAGTCTTCAGGCGTGGCCGCTCACCTGTCTCTTTTTTGCTGTTTACACTCTAGCGCTGTCACCGAGACACATATTCCAGTGACATCTGTCAGGAAGTTGGGATGTTGGTCATCATGATATCAAAATTGACCTTTTTTTTTTTTTTTTTTTTTTTTTGAATACTGCAGTATTATAAATGATTTATCTGTGCACATCATATTCATGTGCCCTTATAATCTTTCATCAAAACAACTTCCCCTCCCTCTTGCAGTGACATCTCTTCCCTGATGATGTACTACATTATTTTTCATATATTTTACATTATTGCTACGCTTCTCTTTCCAGTCTGTCAGTAGCGCTCTGTTTAGCTCCGGTCTCTATGAAGCCCCTCCTTTGGAAAATCATAATGTGCTCTGATTGGTCGGCTGGATCAGTGTGTTGTGATTGGTCAACTGCTTCAAGCGTGTTTCGGAAATGTCACGCCCCTTACGGCCTTACCATAACTGTGAGTTTCAATGCACTACTAACCCAACACAATCAGGTCTGTTCCTTATTTTTTGCGTATGCCTGGGTGGGAATTATTTAAATGAGGTATATTGTGACGAGTAATTTCCCGGAAGAAAACGTAAGACTAATCGAGGTGTTTCAAGGAGTTCAGAGGGACTTTGTAACTTTGCAGACTTTTTTAACACTCAAACAGCAACATTACACAGTAAAAAAAGTTGAAAATTAAAAAAAAAAATCATAATAAATATCTGTATGCTAAGCATTTCATTGCTAACCACTACCAGGAAAACCAGCTATTCCAAATATGTTTTTTCTTTCCTATGGAGACAGAAATATATTCCCATATACTGTTTGTGTCGTGTTCTCCACAACTCTTTCTGCCGACGTTCGCTCGCTCTCTGCTCTTTAGTGGCGTTTGTGAGTTTTACAGGCTATTGTTGTGGTAATCCGTTCTGACCATTTCCTGCTGCTGAGTTGTGTTCTCCCTTTCTTCCCTTCCCAAAGCAGCGACAGCCCCACCACTCCTTCAACTAATCTACTGCAATTACAGCACTTCCCCTCGTCCCCCCAAACGCCCACTTTACAGCACTTCCCCTCGTCCCCCCAAACGCCCACTCTCTCACGCTCTTAAGCTCAACGTTTGTGTTTGTGTGTCAGCGTAAACACGCCACCTGTGTCTTTCTTAATGTGTCTCTGTTCCCTTTCTTCTCTTTTTAATTGTACTGTTATGTGTCAGCATCAGACGGTGGCTCCTCTCGTCTTTGTCCTAGAGAACGTGGGTGTGTTTTTATAGCTTGTATATGAGTGTACGCGCTTTTCTCTTCCTAATTAGTGTGTGTGTCCATTTTCTGTGTTTCCAAGTCATTTTTTGTATCCATGTCAAAGCTTCAAAGGCCTTAAAATAGGTCTTTAATAGCAGAGTGTGTGTTTGGAGTGCTGCGGTTATGAGCTATAAGCAGGGCAGGACTGTATTTATAGCAAAGCTGCTTTGTAAGGAGCCGTGGAGGAACATCAGAAGAAAACTGCAGCCTTCAACTTGACTCGCTGGTCCCTCAACCAGAGCTCACTGCTCTCTCATTCGGCCCAGCTCAGAACTCATGAAGGACAAAGACACACACACACACACACAGAGTTCACCTCTGTTCCCTTTATGTTGCTCACATCTGGATTCCATTCAAAGTGACATCTATTTTTAGATTGTTCCTTTTTTAGTCTGTTCACTTGTAGATAGAGGCTCACTCTCTTCCCATTAGATATGCTGCTGGTGGCTTTGGTCAACTTGTTCTTTGTGTATTCCATGTTTTACATCAGCTTGGTCAGTTTGATTGGTTTAACTTTTTTAATTAAACACTGCTAACCATACACAACCAAGTTTAGCATCAGCAATCAGCCCCTACTGGTGGATGCTGTAACTACACCATATGGCATCTTTCTCCTTTGACGGCCATTCAAAAATATACATCCACTTTTTATACACACACTATAGTACACGTTTTTCCAGTGCCCAATTTGTTTTTGGAGGGATCCTATTCATATTTTCCATGGTATGCACAATTTTTATTACATGAAGTCTTGTATCATTTTTCAAAAAACTAATTTAATTACATTGTTGTAATATCATAAATTTACATTATAATGTTGTGATGCCTTTTCCGTGGGGTGCACAATATTTATTGTATGCTTATTATGAATATAATATATGACTTAAGTTTTGTATAAATTTGTAAATTATTTTATTAGTTTTTAAATATTTATTTAGCTTTAATTTTTTATTTCAGTATTAATTTTACTCATTTTAGTATGTCGTCTTATGTAATATTTAATATTGTAATAATTATATGATGTAATATTTAGAGTGTACATTACAATGTTGTAATGCCTAAATTCAAATGTAACATACAAAATGATTGATTTTATTTTTCATTAACTTAAAACAATATTTTAGCTAAGTAAGTAGTAGAGGTTTTTATTATTTTCAGTCATAAAATGTGATTAATTATCAGCGTATCATCTCGTCCTGAATTTTAACATTGACACGCCCCTAAATTTCCCTCTCAGCTGTCGTTCACATCACAACTCAGGATACTTACTAGTGAATGGTTTGCCACTATGTATTTTGTTTGTGATACCATGAACCAGAACACCTTCTAGAAATCAGACAAAGAACCCCCTCAGTGGACAGTTTGCTCAACGTTGCCACTTTCTGGCTGGGATCTGTAAGTGCGTCCTGTCCCACTGTGTATAATTGCCAATGCCATGTTCTCTGAATGATAATTAGAAATGACACTCTCTGCTCGGCTCAGCACAAAGCTCAAAAAACTTGCTCTGTGACTGGCTAAGAGGCATTTGAGTAATTATGCAGGTATTTAGAAGTGTGAGCATGTGTGTGTGTGCGCTCTGTCACATCTCCCAGGCTGTTTGCATCCTAGCAGATGTTCTCCGTCCTCCCTGGGGGAAGTCTGTTTCTCCTCTTCTCTTGGATCATCCAGCCCTCTTATATGTTAACAAGCTGCCGCTCTCCAACTAATAACCACACACTCTCCTGACTTCCATCCTGGCAGAATCTTCATCACCACTCATGGTGTCTTTTCTCCCCTCCTGGAGCACTTGCTCATCATAACCCTCTCTCCACTCTGCACCCATCTGCCATGGTAACGGTGAATCTGATGAGGCACAATGTTCTTGTGTGTTCAAGGGTGCATGGAATACTGGTGTCCTCTCGTGGCTTCTTCACTGGCTTAAGCCAAGACGGAAGATATCACCTTCTGTTTTAATATTGCGACAAATAGCCACAGATAGTAGTGACTAGTAGTGTCAGGAAGTTGAAGATGCTATCTATCTATCTATCTATCTATCTATCTATCTATCTATCTATCTATCTATCTATCTATCTATCTATCTATCTATCTATCTATCTATCTATCTATCTATCTGTCTGTCTGTCTGTCTGTCTGTCTGTCTGTCTGTCTGTCTGTCTGTCTGTCTGTCTGTCTGTCTGTCTGTCTGTCTGTCTGTCTGTCTATCTATCTATCTATCTATCTATCTATCTATCTATCTATCTATCTATCTATCTATCTATCTATCTATCTATCTATCTGTCTGTCTGTCTGTCTGTCTGTCTGTCTGTCTGTCATATATTTAGTTAGAATATATATATATTTCAATCATTACAACTCTCAGAATAGTTTGAGCATGTTATTGAATATGGCAATGTTAATGTATTTGGTCTTGGCAGAGATCTGCTATGTAAGCGTGTAAGATATGTTGCTGCTTCATAAATAGACATAGATAAACCCCATAGCAGATCTAGGCAGGTGGAGCTGGGGGATGTCAGAGGAATAGTTTATAGCAAACAATGAACCAAAATATTGAAATGTTGAGTAAGCAATCTCATTGGCTGCAGGATCAGCAGAAGCCAATCAGCTTATGTCATGTGGTTTTTCATGGAAAAGTTTTTCATCTTTATGCTAATTTCTACAACTTGAAATGTTAAGACCACCATCAAACCTGCGCAAACCAGCATAAACCAGCCTGGATCATATAAATTCATTTTAGCCCAAATGAATCTTTTTAACACATTGCCAACCAGTTTAAGCAAAGGTTATGAGTATCCATGAAAATTCATGCTTGCCTAAGTTGGCATTTTCAGCTGGGCTGGGACGTTGGTGAAAATGATAAATGTGAGAGATTTTTTTAAGCCCAAGAGTCATATTGGATCAGTGACATTTGGATCACATCTAATACCCCTAAAAACCTTTTTTCCTCTCTTTTCAGATGTGCACGACAGTATGGCGAGGTTTCGCGCTGTTGGGGTGTGGAACTACACCATGTTGACCCTGGCAGAACATGAGAGGGTTTTATACGTGGGCGCCAGAGAGCACATCTTCGCCCTGGATCCCAATGACATCAGCAGACAACTCCGACCACAGGTATGTTCTGCAAGGAAAAGGCTTTTTTCGATTTATTTCATTAAAAAAAAAAACTCCAAATGCACCCAATAAATACTAATCCACAAGTCATCAAGCAAAAAAGGGCATTAGCATTTTATCATTCAAAAATATCAGCATTTAAAAATGACTCACTCTTCCAATGCCACAGCCATTTGTAGTAAATTGCCAGTTGCGGCTGTCAATAGTGAGTGCACATTTTAAATGCAGAGTGCTGTTTGCTTGTAAAAGTCATGTCTCTTTCTCTCTTAGATTGAGTGGTCGGCTCCTGTGGAAAAGAAAAGAGAGTGTGCAGCGAAGGGGAAGAATAACCAGGTACTGGCTAATGTTGCATCCTTTATGTTTTAACAGCTTTACTTTGTCTGGCCCCGCTGAAATACATTTACTCTCCCTCTCTCTCGCTTATTTTCTCTTTGTGTCTCTTTCTCTCTTTCCTCGCTGTCTTTTCAGACTGAGTGCTTCAACTACATTCGTTTCCTGCAGAGCTACAATCACACACACCTGTACACATGCGGGACATACGCCTTCCAGCCCAAATGCACCTATATTGTAAGTGTGCGCTTTTATCTTTGCCTGAGAAATCTGTCCGACCCACATGATCAAGTGGAGCGGGCTGCAATATGATGGAGAAACTGTGTGTGTGTGTGTGTGTCAGCGAGTGGCTTCTAGTGTGTCAAGTGAAATATATCAAATGTAAATGAGGTTGTGTTCTCACACTGTGCGGACGATGTGATAAGACGGCATGACGTGGCTTGTGTATTTTTGTGTGTATGAATTCATTTATTTCTTATTAATTTATCATTTATAGGGTTATGTCATTTTTTAACTATTTACATTTTTTTACAGCATTTAAAAACTTACTCTACTAGGTTCTTGATAACACTTCATAGCAGCCTTTATATATAATGCATTATAGAAATATTTTTAATGTATGAATTATACCTAATGCATTGTATGATTTCATGAATAATTGTAACCACAGTTATAATACATTATGTTATTATAATCTATTAATTGTAATATAATCTATTCATACTTTAATCTATTCATACACCTTCAGAAAGTATAATGCATTAAAACACGACAAAAACAATTTCGCAGATCTGCAAATATTATGATGGAATTTAACTTTGGTTACAGTTATTTATGAAAAGATTTCATGCATTATAATGTACAAAATTAATACCTTTATAATGCATTACACATAAAGGCTTTAATTAAACCAATGTTTTTATGAAGCCTCTTCTGCTCACCAATGCTGCATTTATTTGATCAAAATACAGAAAAAACTGATTTTTTAAAAAAAATATTATTATAATTTAAAGTAACTGTTTTCTATTTTAATCTATACATTTTTTATATTAAATATTATTATAATAATATATTTTGAAATGTAATTTGTTCCTGTGATGCAAACCTGAATTTTCAGCATCATTACTTCAGTCTTCAGTGTCACATGATCCTTCAGAAATCATTCTAATATGCTGATTTGGTGCTCAATTATTAATAATGGTTCTTATTATTAGCAATATTGAAAACCGTTTTTGCTGCTTAATATTTTTGTAGAAAATGTGATAAGACGGCATGATGTGTGTGTGTGTGTGCTCTTATTTGTGTGTGGGCAGGAGGACGATGCAAGAGGGCTCAGCTGCTGCTTAAACTGCAGTTGGCAAACAGCCGGTGGCTCAGTGTGTGTGTCAGTTCATGTGTGTGTGTTTGCTTGATCCATATGTAACTGTTTCTGTCTTTCTCTAATAGAATGCAGATCATTTCACTCTGGATAGCGCCGCCCCGGAGGATGGTAAGGGAAAGTGCCCCTACGACCCCGCCAAGGGTCATACAGGCCTCATTGTGGGTGAGTCAGCTGTATGCACACGTTTCTGACATGTAAAAACCTGCATTATTATTCTTGCGCCTTGTGTGTGGGTGTCCGTTTGTGCTCGGTGCCGCCTGTGGATGCGTTTAGGCCTCCTCTCTTCCCACACTTGGGAGAGAACGGAGTCCCTCTTTAATATCTCATAACCGTGAGGCTGTAGACAGGAGTGTGTGCATGTGTGCCTGTTCCCGCTCTAAGCGTTCTTCTCCTTTCCTAGACAAAGAGTTGTACTCCGCCACCCTCAATAACTTCCTGGGCACAGAGCCCGTAATCCTGAGGAACCTGGGACAACAACATTACAGCATGAAGAGTGAATACCTACCGGCTTGGCTCAACGGTAAATCTGAAAACAAACACAACATATATTTCATTCTCCTGCTGAAAAGACTATCTTATGTTATGCTGGTGCACATGGTTGACCAGCGTTACCAGCACCAGGACAGAGAGTAAACCAGGCTGCTCCTTCAGACATGGATTACTGAGTTCTGGATTCAGTTGTTGGCACTTGGCGACTTGACACGATCCTGTAATTCTTATATTATACAAATAGATATTACACATAGTTATGTAGATTTAATGCTTCTTAGCTTTTATGTGTAGTACATGTCCGGTTGCATTTAGGTATTTATAATTATATTAAAAAATTATATATACATATATATATATATATATATATATATATATATATATATATATATATAGGCATTTTTAAACCGAACGGTTCGTTGGACCATTTTTCCTGCCCACCAAAATTTTGTTATTTCAAATGTAGGCGCGTCTCACGTGGCAAGCGCGCCCATAATGTAATGGTGTGTTCACACCGAACGCGAATTTAATTATTTGCGCGAGTAGATTACATACAAAGTCAATGCAAAGACGCGAATAGACGCATCATTCGCGCCGGGCGTTGCGAATGACGCGAATTGACGCGAATTGGGTTTGCCGCGAATGTCTTCCGCGCAAGTTGAAAAATTTGAACTCGAGCGAATGTTCAAGCGTTTAACTAAACGCGATAGACGCGTATTTGACGCTCTATTCGCGTTCGGTGTGAACACACCATAAGAGACGCTGGCATGACCACAACATTGCCCAACATCAAATGGCAAATGTAATGTAAGCGGAACGAAACCACTCGTTATTGTGTGGTTGACGGACCGTTTATCAGTTTGGACAAATGCAGCGCGAGCCGATGGCCCTGTCCCAAATGGAACCCTAAGCACTCGCGGTCTTCCTCTGAGTCCGCACTTTCGCGACGTAACGCCGCTTTGAATGTCGGGAAGAAGTCTGCTGTGGAGTCTGCATCAGCGCGTGCTCGCCAAAAGTGCGCATCAAGGGCGCAAATCGACCGCAGAGGGGGCGCTCGCGAGCACCCTTCTGAGATCTAAAAATGACAAATGGGACACACTGCGGTCTCACCAAGGGGGTAATCCATCAGCCGGAAGTTGAAGCTGCCTCCGGGGGCCGCCATTGTAGCTGGCTATCACCTGCTGTTAGCATCCCATTGACTCCCATTCATTTTGGCGTCACTTTGACAGCGAATAACTTTACATCTGAGGCGTCCAAAGACTCCATTTGTCCATTATTTATTTCTTAAGAAACACGACAATGTATAAAATGCTCCATTACCTTGTATCTTACGTTATAGCCCCGTAGAAGCCATTCTTGTAAAAATAGGCTAACGATTGCGTCATAACCACGGGACGCTCTGTCGCACAGTAGAGAAATTACCGTATAGACAGAAGTAGAAGCTCGTAGGCAATCGTTTACTGTCTATGAGGCAATCGGGTGGACATGGAGGCATAAAGTCAAGGGAGAAGCCCATAGATGGAGAGTTCATAAAAGCAACGGGACAAAATATTTCAACAACAGATTTGTTTCAGATTTCAATTCAGATTTGTCCCGGCACAGCTACTAGAAGGTCAGAACGGTTGCTCACGTGACAACTACGTCGTCAAGCTCAGTTTGAGCCTACGCAGTGCGCTTGGCTATCAGGAAGTGAGTGCCCATGTTGGGCTTCAACTCTCTCCGTTGAAATCAACGGGGTCGCTGTGTCCATTTCTTTTACTGTCTATGGGTCTCACGGACTTAACGGACACGCGCACGCGGCAGCCATTGTAAGGCCCTGTCCCAATACCCGCACTTGCGCCCTTGTGCCCCTCAATGCGCGTTCTCGCTAAGGGGTGCAAGACCGTAGGGTGTCCCGATCCTCTAATAGTGTTCTTCAGGGGTGATCATAAGGGCACTTAATGCACCCCTTTCGCAAGTGCGCATCAGACCTCACTTTGCTGTGGGATATTACCCAGAATCCTTGTAGTGTTGTGACGTTTCGAACAGCTAACCAATGGGGGAGAATGGTTGCTATGGTGCTGTTCGGGAGCGGAAACTCCGAAGATAAAGGAAGCCGGTGTGGTGAAGTGTTTTTCAAGGCCGCGAAATTTAAAAATATTAGTGTTATCGTGTCACGAAATGTAGTTATCAGAGTGTTTCAGTCGAGAATATAGTTGTTTAAAGCTCAAATCTGGGGTTTGTTTATAAAGATAGCGCCTATTTAAAATTTTGATCTGACTTTTTCGGAGTTCCAGGGATCAGCGGGCGCACAGCGCTCATGTACCCCGCCTGGAACAGCCTTACCTCGGCTAGTCATTCTGACGTTTCCCGCGGGCTCTGTGTCTAGTGGTTAAACATGAGCTATAAATCGGCTTGTGTATATCTAACAGGCGATCTTTGGTCTCATTAATCTATGTTCCCTGGCAAATCGTTTTGGCTGAGGGCAAAGTGAAGTTTCATAACTTTATATATTTAACGTTATGCTATTTAACTGTAACGTTGTAACGTTAGCCTGTTGACTTATCTTTGACTGAATCTTTTAACTTGCTTTATTTCTTGACTTATATAGCTTCTTATACTTTTTAGGCTACTTATAATTTAATAATGGCTATTATTGATCAATAAAACTGAAATTTAACAAAAAGAGACAGGGTTGTGTCATTTTATTTCATATAGCCTATGTAAGACTTTTAATATAGCCTTAGCCTATATATAATATATCACCAACACGTCATGTATTTTTTCATGTATGGGATGGGAAGAATTTCATATATCAATTTCCATAATAACATAATTAAAATTGCATTTCGAATCGCTGTGAATACGGTAAGGCAGTATAAGCTCAGGTAAACCCCAATCACAATTTATCTTAGCCAAAAACTGTTTTAATATTAATAACATTAACAGAAAGGTTGGTAGCTAAGAGTAAAAAAAGATATTATTTTTTTCATTCAAAGGATTGTGTCATGTTACAGCTATTATAAGCAGCACACACATTAGCCAAATGAATGGTGTTTGCTCTCCTGATCACAACAGAAGTGGCGTGTGCAAAACTGTGTCTCTTCACAGCTTTGGGCCCTTGCGCACTTACTCCGCTAAGTGCACTTTCAACAAGTGTCCACTTCCAGGAAGGCCTTAGGGCTCAAGTGAGAATTGGGACTGGGCCTAAGTCCACAAGACCGAAAGTGCACATGAAGTGTGCCATTTGGGATTGGGCCGATCTTAATGGTCTCTATGCACGGCGGTATTTCCGGTGAAGGTCTAAGGATGCTGGATTACTTCCGCCGATCGTAGAGTCCAATGCTATACCGATAATTTATATTGGTTTTTATACTCTATTGCTATACTAAAGAAATGTTAGTCACAAAAACAGATAAAACAGACAACCCTCATTTTGTTTATGCTTCTTTGTTTATTATATTAAATAAACATAACTATATATAAAATTACATCTAAACGTATTAAAGTTTCGTTTCAAAGACGAGAGGACAGTAAATTTTGAAGACTCTGCCATAATCCCGTTTTCCTCCGCTTTAAATCTCCCCAACCGGAAACTGAAGAGCAGCCTTGCGTAATGCAGAACTTATGCGTGCATATAGCCTATCAAGCAGCACTGTTACTACACAGAGTTACTACACACAAATCCAGTAAAGAAAATTTTTGAATTCGCCACTGAAGTAATAACATCGCTGCGAGATATAGTGAGAAACATTCACATTTCTCTGTTATTAACGGATCAAACAGCGCTGACGTGGAAACCGGGAAGGAACATTTTGCCATGAATGAACTATCCAGTGTCCACAGATCAGCAACATTCACCATGGATTACCTGTAGTAACACTACTAACTGTAACCATTGAAGTTTGGCAGGAATAGTAGGCTATAATGCTTTCAAGTAACATTACGTCGCTTTTATTTTGACATTATGAATACAATTGCTGCCCTCAAATGTTAATCTGAACTAAAATAAACCTTTGTTTATAACTACTACAATATTACATTTCATTTTGTCCAAGGAGCTGTTTTGTTTTATATGCTCCTAAGAAAAGTCAAGTATAGCTCCATCATTGCTCAAAGTAAAAAAAATATCATACTTTATGATGTTAGTTTTAATAAAAATATAATTAAAAAAATGAAATCAAGGAAATTTCTCTGGCATTTCTTTCTTTTTGCTGTATCGAAAACGTACCGAACCGTGACGCAAGTGTATCGTATCGAACCGAACCGAACCGTGAATTTTGTGAACACACCCCTAATATATATGAAGCGAATACAATTTTTAATTGAATTAATTACATGACGTGGTGATTAATTCATCTAATTATTCGCACATCAAATTTGGCAAATATGTCATTATTGTGTAAAATGAGAACAGCATAAAGTAGACAAAATAGAAAAAAAATATTTGATTCAACATTGAATTTATTACATATAAACTTTTAGGCTTCAACAGCCATGAGGGTGACTAAATGATGACAGAATTTTCCTTTTTGGGTGAACTACACCTTAAATTGATTTTTTTTTATTATTCATATGGAAATATGGATAATATTTGTAATGAAATGATACTCTAAATAAGAAACTAAAACTGCCAGTGGTTGGCGGTAAATAGATATAATTTAACAATTAACATTTTTTTACAGCATTTGTTAGCGGAGAATAAACCATGTTGCTTCTTTGGACATGGATTACTGAGTTATCTGGATTCAATTGTAGCCGACTTGACACAATCCTGTATTGTTTCATTCGCCAAAGCTCATCTCTGAGTCGTTGTCATAGCAACAGGTCCGTAAGCTCAAACCTTTTTTGTTTAACGTAAACAGGATTAGATTTCGGATGGTAAAGTCTGTCCCAGCCTTTGCACCATTCTCAACGCACCCAGGGGATGTAAGAATTTAGTATTATTATAATTATTTTAATAATAGCCTAATTTAAAAGAACATAATCTTTTTTGTAGATGATAATAGGCACAGACGTGTTACTCACTGTGATGAACTGCTTTAGGTGTGCGGGGGGAATTTACCTCACATTAGATGCACAGTTTGTCTGGTCTGTGCATTAACTGCAATGCAGACATTGTGTTTTCTACAGCTCAGGAGATGCTCTCTGTCGTGCCATTAGAGAAGAGTACCTGGCCCTCCTACATAATAAGAAAACATTTATGATTTTTGTTGTTTTCCCGGTCACATAAGAAAGCAGGCTTTTACAGAGAGCTTTTATGCCGTGATGCAGTGGCATTGCAGGGCCTGTTAAATTAAATGTTAAGTTCATCTGAATACATTAACATCTGACACATGAAACCTGTAGAAATGCAAGGGAAGTGAAAATGGAAATATAATGTAACGGTTAAATATTTACACGTTTAATTCTTCCCCAGCTTTCAGCCAGTTCTTTCTCCTTGTTGCCTTGGCAGTGTTTCGTTGCTCTTTTAAGGTCCAGAAATTCAGACTTACTTCTTGTTTGGCTTGTGAAAAAAAAATTCCAAAGAAAGATGTTTATAATATAATATAATAAATAAAAAAATTCGGAAAGAAATGAATGCTTCTATCCGGCATGAACAGAAGTGACGGTAAAGACTTTTACATTGTTACAAAAGATAAAGTTTATGATCTCAAAAACTCATTCCACTCATGCTAATCAAATCCAACCATGTGCTTGATAAACTGAATCAGCCAGAAAGGAATTATCACAAATTAAAAGATCTGGTCTTACAGCATTTGATATATTATCTCAGTATTAAGCGATGTACAGGGAACAGGGCCCTGATCTATCCAGCAGGGTTAATCCGAAATCAGCTCAATAAACAATGTCCCAAGGTGGATTTTTAAGATCTTTTATCTGTTTCATCAAGTAACCACCAGCCCCTTATCTATTAAGTGCTGTGTCTCCAACACGTTCTTCCATATCTTCCCCTTTTGTCTGGGACAGAGCCAAACTTTGTGGGTTCGGCGCTGGTCCGGGAGAGCCGTAACAGTAAAGATGGAGACGACGATAAGATCTACTTCTTCTTCAGCGAGAGAGCGTTGGAGCTGGACTGCGACAGCGATCTGACCGTGGCACGGGTGGCGCGTGTGTGTAAGGTGAGAATGTAAATACACCAGAAGTATTCGACCAGAAGGTTTCTGAATGAGCAAGGCACTCAACATCGGGTTGCTCTAGGGCAGGGTTTCTCAAACGGGGGTTCATGAGGGAACTGCAGTCGATGAAAAGCTGATAATTAATTGATTAAATCAGATTAAAATAAACAAATTGAGCTGCACATTAATCAAAATAAAACTGAAATAATGTTGCGCTGCGTGTTTCAGAGTGAAGAGTGGCACTGTGGTATAATACAGTGTTATCAGAGCAGCTCGGTTCACAGTAAATATTCTGCTTCTCTTTAACTCTCTGCAAGCGTTTAATGTGCATTTCTGAACCAGCGTTATTTTAGAATCCTTGAGGTATATTATAGTTTTTATTAATAGTTTGAATTAGTTTTCATTCATATATATTTTTTATTTAATTTTAGTCTTAATTTTAATTTTGGTTTTTAGTTTAGTTTTGTTTTGTTTTTTGTTTTTTTATATGGTTTAATTTTATTTCAGTTTTAGTTCGTTTTGTATCGTTCGTTTTGTACATCAAGCTAAAATAAAAATGGGAAAATGTATTTCCTTGGCAGGTTGCTCAAATAAAAAAAATTATATATATATATATATATAATCTATTTCAGTGTTTTATCTCAAGTAACAACTTTTTAATGGTTTTACTTTTTTAGTTAGGAACATAATGTGCACTAGGTTCACTTTATTTACATTCACATTTGCATAATTTTTAACAATTATGTGTGCAGAATGTGTGTCTCATTATGAGACATTTTCATATGAAATTAAATCTCATGGCAGGTCAAGCAGCCTATTATATATATACAGCTCTGGAAAAAATTAAGAGACCACCGCAAATTTTTCTTAAATCAGCATCTCTACATGTGTGGCAGCCATTGTTGAATTCCAACACAGGCACACTTCATTCTACTGAATGAGGTGCTGATTAGGTCATCACTTGAACCAAATCTTATTTAATGAGGAAAAGTATAAAAACCACTGCTGTGGTCACCACTGTCCTCTTGCAATAGGACCAGCTGGATGGCAAAAACAGCGCTAGTAATACCTCAAAATTAATTGGAATCAAAAGATAACTATTGACCATGCCAAAAGAGTTGAAAAGGAAAAGAAGGGTTCAATTCTGGCTTTACTGGGCAGAGGGATGCAGTGAGCGTCGGGTTGCTTCCATCCTTAAAATTTCAAAGACGGCGATTCATAAGAACAAGGTCAAGCAGCAGACATTGGGGACAACAAAGCTGCAGACCGGCAGAGGGCGAAAACCACTCTCCACTGACCGGGATGACCGCTAACTCATTCGAATGTCACTCAACAACCGTAGGATGACATCAAGTGACCTACAAAAAGAATGGCAAACGGCAGCTGGGGTGAAGTGCACGGCGAGGACGGTTCGAAACAGGCTCCTAGGGCCAGGACTGAAGTCGTGCAAAGCTAGAATAAAGCCCTTGATCAATGAGAAGCAAAGAAGAGCCAGGCTGAGGTTTGCAAAAGACCATAAGGATTGGACTGTAGAGGACTGGAGTAAGGTCATTCTCTCTGATGAGTCAATGTTTCAGCTTTGTCCAACACCTGGTCATCTAATGGTTAGACGGAGACCTGGAGAGGCCTACAAGCCACAGTGTCTCGCACCCACTGTGAAATTTGGTGGAGGATCGGTGATGATCTGGGGGTGCTTCAGCAAGGCTGGGATCGGGCAGATTTGTCTTTGTGAAGGACGCATGAATCAAGCCACATACAAGGTTGTATGAGGATTCCAACTCCGAGGATTGGTTTTTCCAGCAGGACAATGCTCCATGCCACACAGCCAGGTCAATCAAGGTGTGGATGGAGGACCACCAGATCAAGACCCTGTCCTGGCCAGCCCAATCTCCAGACCTGAACCCCATTGAAAACCTCTGGAATGTATTCATACCTATATCTAGTAAAACCAGAGAAACTGATAATTTTGCAGTGGTCTCTTTTTTTTTTTTCCAGAGCTGTATATATATATATATATATACAGGTGAAACTCGAAAAATTAGAATATCGTGCAAAAGTTCATTTATTTCAGTAATTCAACTTAAAAGGTGAAACTAATATATTACATGCAAAGTGAGATATTGCAAGCCTTAATTTGTTATAATTTTGATGATTATGGCTTACAGCTTATGAAAACCCCAAAGTCAAAATTAGAATATTGTGAAAAGGTTTTCATAAGCTGTAAGCCATAATCATCAAAATTATAAGGCTTGAAATATCTCACTTTGCATGGAATGGGTCTATATAATATATTAGTTTCACTTTTTAAGTTGAATTACTGAAATAAATGAACTTTTGCACGATATTCTAATTTTTCGAGTTTCACCTGTATATATATACTGTATTGGCTATACAGTATACTATACTGTATGTGTGAATATATACTGAAGGGAGGCACAGGCAAACTTCAAGCAATATATATATATATAATAAAAGCAATTGAAATAATATACTTAATGAAAACATTTGAATGTGTTTTTAAACGTCTAAGGGGTTCTGCTGAAAAAAAAGTTAAGGAACCCCTCCCTGCTGAAAAATCCTGCATAAACCAGCAAGAATTCCATGTTGGTCCATGCTGGTTTATTAGAGCTGGTTTATGCTGGTCTAGCTGGTGGAATAGCATAGTCATGCTGTTCTCAAGCATTCTGGTGAGAAGCAATGCTGTATTTTTCAGCAGGGCTGCTCTAGGGCAATTGTACCTGTATAAAGAAAATCACTTTGAACAAAAACGTCTGTTAAATGGCTACTTGCTTCACTTTTCAGGGAGACCTGGGTGGCACACGGACCCTGCAGAAGAAGTGGACGACCTTCCAGAAGGCCCGGCTGATGTGTTCTTTCCCCGAGCGCCACATCACCTTTAATAACCTGCGGGCCGTCTTCACCCTGCCTGGGGCGGACTGGAGGAGCACTAGTTTCTATGGCATCTTCCATGCGCAGTGGTGAGCGAACCCTCCTGCCATGCCAGTCCGTGTCATACTCATAAATATTTCTCTCTCTTCCTCTTCCTGACGTAGTTGTGAAAGTCACTCTGTCCTCTGCTTATATAAAAGTGTCACCGTGCCAAACACCCAGCCGTGATCCTCAAGTGTAGAAAATGCTGCACTGTCATTATGTTGACAGTAAGACTATAACTGTAATAAACCAGCCAATGTAGCGCAGTCATTTAGTTCAGACTGACTGACTACTTTTTTTTTTCTCTCTCTCTCTCTCCTTCTCTTTCTTTATCCTTTGTTCTCTCTCAGGGGGGATGTGGATGTGTCTGCTGTGTGTCAGTACCAGATCGGAGAGGTGAAAAATGTGTTCGACGGGCCGTATAAAGAGTACAGGGAGTCGTCTCAGCGATGGGTCCGATACACCAGCACTGTGCCCAGTCCTCGACCTGGAGCGGTGAGCTGACCAGCCGATGAGATGAGAGGCCGTGACTAAGCACTCGGATAAAAATAGCACACCATTTTTGTACATACTGTGATATTTCATAACAAAATAAGAACTTAATAATATTCCTGTTGGATTATAACATTTTATAAAGATCTTAACAAAGATTTTGAGTCCGATTATGTCAGAAAAATTTGCGGAAAACATTGTTTGGAAAACTTTTATTATGTAATTTCAGGTAATGTTAATATTTTGGGATGAAGAAGTGCAAAAGTATACAGTGATGTTGACTGTGGGCCATTCAGAAGTAAATTTACAAAAAACTAAAACCATTTACAGGACCGTTCAAATGCTTAATAAAATGAATACTTTTATTCATCGAGGACGCATTAAATTGATCAAAAGTTATGTTGTTATAACAAAATTATCTATTTCAAATATTCTTTTGAACTTTGTTCATCAAAGATCCTGAAATTTTTTTTTACTGTTTTGAACATTGATACTAATAAGAAATGTTTTTTGAGCAGGAAATCAGCATATTAGAATGATTTATGAATGACCATGTGATACTAAAGACAATGATGCTGAAAATTCAGCTTGTGTATTAAATATTACTGTTTTTACTGTGTTCTTGATCAAATAAATGCACTCATGGTGAGCATAAGAGACATCTTTCAAGAACATGAAAAAATCTTACCGACCACAAACTTTTTAATAGTAGTGTACATTAAAATAAAATTACATACCTGAATTTAAATTAAGGTTGCAAAGAGGTAGCAGATTAAAAATGAATTGAAACTGAAAGAAAGAAAATTATATTGCTGTAATTTTTGTATTTTTAATTTATATATCTCATCACGTTTATTAATTAACTTTTGTGAACCGGGGTAGAAGGATACTTCATTTCCCATAATTCTTTGAATTACAGCTCATTCTTTTTCCTGTTATTCCAATGCAAGTTCCTGTGGGGTGTGGCTAGTTTGATTCAAAGTCCAGAGCTGCGTCCGAAATCGCATACTCTCTTGAGTAGGTACTTATTTTGAATAAGTAATATAATAAGTAATTACTTTGCAAGTAATTACTTCTATATTGTATGACTGTGTGTAGTTTGAATGCAATCTGGACGTACTACATTCGCCATGCTGTCATTATCATGTGACCTACCAGAGTCAGTTGCGCCACTTCACTGCCGTTCACAAATCCTCTCCTGTGGCCTTATGGGATAGTAAAGTGTCCAGTGTTTGCACACTTCAGATTTTTGATAGAAGTAGTAGGTCAATTGATGAATTCTGACATACTTCTTTTGTTTTTCGCCTACTGTAGCAGGGAAGTACGCGATTTCGGATGTAACCCAACTCGTGAACTGACAGGGAGCCAGTTTGAAGTTTTGTAAATGTCAAAGCGTTAAACAAACTGAGAATAGCCTACTATAATGGTTGTATTTTAAATTTGTATGATGTTGTTTAAAAAATACACATTATGACATAGGTATTATTAAGTAAAAATGCCTAATCAAGTAAAAAGACTTTCGTTTCTTTCTACAGTGCATCACAAACTTTGATAGGGAAAACGGCTACAACAGTTCTCTTCAGCTGCCTGACGCTACGCTAAACTTTGCCAAGAAGCATCCGCTAATGGAGCTCAGGGCGGAAGCTCGCCCCCTGCTGCTTACTAAAGGGATCAACTTCACCCGAATAGCTGTGGACAGAGTGAGCTCACTGGACCAGAGATCCTACAACATGCTCTTCATAGGCACAGGTGTGTTATATAGGGTCAAACGCACACATGGATCATTGTACGGAACGTTACACAGCTAATAAGAGCAGTGTTTCTTTGTCAAGAGGGTCTCCTGCATTGTCCTTCTTGTTCCTTTGTCCTTTTCTGTGTAAATATAAATAAAGCAGCCAAAGAAACCATTTTATTAGCCATAATGTTGCATCTAAGTGGAAATGTCACCTCTGCCAATGAATTCCTGTCATGCAGGAAGGTCAGTCCTTGAAATATAAATTGAAAAGATGTATTTGGCCTTGGCACTCTCATATAAACACACTCACAAGGCTCAAGGCTCAACCATTATTGGTATCCAAAAGAGTTCAGTATTTCACCAATCCCTCGCAAAAGACAAATACATCTAGACAATCCTAGTTAGTTGACGTTAAATATTTTCAGAAAGCAATTTTGCCATTTTCTTTTAGAATTATTATTCAGTTTAAGCATATAAGCATTATATTAAGCATCATATTAATTGAAAGACTTCATAAATCTTATTATAAAATATATTTTTATAATAAAATATATGCTTTAAAATAACATGTATTTGTTATAAAAAATACTAGTAAAATTACTTGTGAAGGCAAAAAGGGGTTTATGACATCATATTATTTTAGAGACTACATTAGTATTATTTTAAAATATATGTTTTAATACAATATATATTCCTAAATGTATTTTTATACTTTTAAAAAAGTATTTATCATACCACAGGACTATTTAAAATGACTAGTGCACAAAAAAAGGTTTGTATGACATAATATTAATTGAAAAACGAATGAATATTATTATAAAATACTGTTTTATATAATATACATTTTTATATACATTTTTAAAAAATGCATTTGTCATACCGCAGGACTATTTAAAATTACTAGTGAAAGCATAAATGATTTTATGACATATTATTTGAAAAACTACATGAATATTATTCTAAAATATATTTTACAATAATTTTTTTTTTTTTACTTAAACATGTCACACCGCAGGACTATTTAAAGTGATTAATCAAGGCAAAAGGTAAAAATGCCTAAAATATACATTCAGGGTATAGTGTAACCCATTTTGAGTGCAGTCAGCATCTGAGGCAGTGTGTGCGTGTGCGTGTGTGTGTGTGTGTGTGTGTGTGTGTGTGTGTGTGTGTGTGTGTGTGTGTGTGTGTGTGTGTGTGTGTGTGTGTGTGTGTGTGTGTGTGTGTGTGTGTGTGTGTGTGTGTGTGTGTGTGTGTGTGTGTGCGTGTGTGCGTGCGTGCGTGCGTGCGTGCGTGCGTGTGTGTGTGTGTGTGTGTGTGTGTGTGAATCTTGGATTGAGGATTAAGAGTCAACATAGATACTCTGACATGAGCAAAAGTGCCAGGGTGGATTTGTAAAGCACACCCTGTAGCTCTTCAACTCTCCTCCATTATCCCTTTTCCGCACGTTCCCTTTTTCTCCCAGACTGAGTGAGAGGTCAGTGGCACATTATCTGTGACAAGCACTGTGTGAGAGGACGGGATAAAGTACACACACGGAGTTATGATAGGTCACGGCACCAGCTGGGGTGTATTCAATTTTCCTCCCGGTAATCTGCGTAACCTTGTTCCTAAAATCCAATGACGGAAAAATATGCCACATGTTGATGATACATTAATGGACTATTTGTCTCTCCTTTCTCTCCTTTCCCCCTCTCTGTCCCCATCACATTATTTCTCCCCCTCTGAATATAATCTATCCCCACCATCTTTCCTCCCGGCCTCTTTGTTTGTCGTTCAGCGGATGGATGGCTCCAGCGTGTCGTGATTTTGGGTTCAGAGGCCCATGTGATAGAAGAGATCCAGCTGTTTGATCGGCAGCAACCGGTGGACAGCCTCACCATCTCGCACAGCAAAGTAATTTCTGATCTGTTTTCTTGCTGAGCCAATCTCTTTGATGCCAGCTCTCCCGCCTGACTAGCATTAATGGGTTTTGTTCAAACAGAGTAGGAAAACAGAATGCACCGATAGCTGAAAATAATTTATTTGCTATTGTTTTCCTTCATTTAATTCCAAATCCTCCCATTCTTTCTCTACAGAAGTATTTGTACATTGGCTCACGCTCTGAGGTTCTTCAGCTGCCCTTGGCAAACTGCAGCCGGTACCATTCACAGCCAGACTGCCTGCTGTCCAGAGACCCGTACTGTGCCTGGGACAGCGAGGGACGCGCTTGTGTCCGCATCGACCTCCACCGCGGGTAAATTCATCAATCTTTTGGTTCTACTGCTAGCATCCTTGCACCATCCTCCATCTGCTCCTTTTCTGTCTTTTGCGCTCTCCTCTTTATTTTCTCTCTGATTCTGCTCTTGCTCTCCTCCGCCGCTCGCTCCTCATCATTTTGCAAAGGCTTTCCCTTTCCACCCCCTCTGTTCTCCTCCACGGGTCCCTTTTTATACTTTTAAGCTGCATCCCCATAGCAGTGTGTCTAACAGCCTTCTGACACATCGTCAATATTTGTTCCCCCCCCCCACAGCTCCACATCCACACTCTCGCAGGACCTCATGCTGGAGAGGTTCAACCGAGGAAAAGCCAAGTTTGATAAGCCTTTCTCCATCCCCAGCCCTGGTACGTCAGATTTACGCTGCCCCCTACAGGCCTCCCTGCAGTGAGCGGTTTCCATTAGGGGACACGCACACTTTTAAAGGAAAAGTTCATCCAAAAATGAAAACTCACCCTCACTTGTAAGACTTTCGTTCATCTTCGGAACACATATGAAGATCTTTTTGATGAAATCTGAGAGCTTTCTGTCCCTCCATTGACACTTTGATGCTTCAAAAAGTTGATTAAGAGATCGTAAAACTGATCCATATGAATTAAGCGGTTTAGTTCAAAGTTTTCTGAAGAGACACAATCACTTTATATGATGAACAGATTGAATATAGGTATTTATTCACATATAAACATTCATCAACTCACACATCAGTTGTGGTAAACGGAAGCTCAAGCATGTTCGCTTGACATCCGAGAACCAATCAGGTTCATTCTTGTGTGTTAAGCAGCATGTATGAGCTTCCTCAAGAACCAATAAGGTTTGTTCTCGCGCCTCAAGCATGTTCGGTTGAGCTTCTGTTTATGTTCGTTGAATAATGTTTAAATGTGAATAAAAGCCTAAATTCAATCTTTTCATCATATAAAGCAAATTTTAAAATTAAACCGCTCAATTCATATGGATTAATTTTACAATCTCTTTATGAACTTTTGAAACATCAAAGTTTCAGTTCCGTAGCTGTCAATGGAGGGACAGATTTGTGTTCCCAAGATGAATAGAAGTCTCTATTCGGGTTTGGAATGACAAGAGAGTGAGTAAATGATGAAAGAATTTTGGGTGAACTAACCCTTTAAAGCAGTGTATATCTGGTCAATGAAATTACTAACAAAAATAATCAATTAAATTAGAAAATTACTTTTATATTTTAATTGAATCAAATTAATTAAATATAGCAAGAGAGAAATAATACTGTAAAATATTAACAATGTACTAACCATGTTTTCCGAAGAAGAGAAATCTAGACAGAATATGATTTGTTTCAAATAATCTATTCACATTCAATAATGTCAGGGAATTTACCTACATGAGAACAGACTAAAACAAAAAGCTATGTAGAAAACTTTGAATGTTTTAATGAATGTTATTTCAATTATTTTATTATTTTAAAAGTGAAATAAATCTTCTTTTTTTTTTTCCCAGATCATTCTAGGTTGAGAAATGTGACTGTGGTCGTTGGGTCGGATCTGGTATTGCCCTGCAATCTGGTTTCCAACTTGGCCCAGCCCTTCTGGGAGCTCAACGAACGTGAGCTGGCCCTCGTGGAAGGTGAGGCCATTGGGCCGCGATTCGACAGAGCCCTCCGCTCCCTCGTTATCCCCCAAGCCGGGTCCCTTCAAGCGGGCCGCTACATCTGCTACTCGGAGGAGCAAGGCGTGAAGTTCCAGACGGAGAGATACCAGGTCGCAGTGGTGGCCAGCGCGCCCGTCTTCATGGAGGCCCGCGCTCCTGACGGCAGCATGGGTTTATTCTGGGTGCTGGTGATCACATTGGGTGCCGCTTGTCTGTTGCTGCTAATCGCGTCTTTGTACCTTCGTAGAAGACTGAAGTTGGCACTGGGAAAAGGGGCGGAAATGAAGCCGCTGGAGAGCACTTTAGTGTACCCCATTACTTTACCCAAAGAGCCTCCCAGCCGGCCATCATTCGTGCCGAGCAAGATGGCGAACGATGACGATCGCTTCTGGGAAACGGGAGCTAATTACTACTACTCGGACGGCTCCCTTAAAATTGTCCCAGGGCATGCAATGTGCTCCACCGGCAGCACGGCATCTCCGAGTGCTATTCCCGGTCAGCCCATCCACTCGCCGAGCAGGTTGAGCCTCACCAACATCCGAAACTCAGGCACCAATGGATACATCCGCCTGAATCTGAGCACGGCCGGAGAGGAGAGAGCGAGCACGGGATCGGGAATGGGCATGGGAAGCGGACTCGGACTGGGCAGCCGAGAGAACGACTACACCAGCCCATTCAAAGAGGAGCTCCGGAGAACTCTGCAGCAGAGGAGCGTGCTTCCCGATGCCAATCCCGAGGAGTCTTCTGTGTAGACCTCACAGGAACCACAGAAAACCTCACCTACCTCCCTCCTGCTTGGGGAACTCTCTTCATCTTACTCGCAACCTATTTCTTCTCTGTCAATCTCCCGTGCCATAAGGCCACCGACATTCCCTTGGATTATTCTGGTTCTCATACGTAACTAACACTCAACCGAGACTGAACACATCTCGCAAAGCTTTTTGTAAATGTCTATATTTAATGGACCAGACCGACAGGGCCTCGTGTTGATCTTGGCTAACAGGCGAACACAGGTACATCTCTGAGAGGAACCCAACCAGCCAAATGTAGCCGTCAGTCTGATCTGCATTGGGCAGATGTCTGGCAACCTAATCATTTGGCAAGATGGAGGATACAGAGCTTATTTTTGACGTCCAGAGGTTGCTTGCCCCCGTGTTTTTTGCACCCTTTTTATGGGTAGAACACATGAGAGAGGAGGCGAAAAGGACATGCATAAACTTAAAGCGCAAGATGACAATCACGCTCTTCTCTCAAGAGTAAAGCAGAGGAGAAATTGTTTAGGGGAAAAAACTGAGTGAGCTGTAAAACTGAAGCAGGACTTGAATCATGAACAAATGCTTTGCCTTTCTTTCTCTACGGCTCAAGAACTTTTTGTAAAATTTTGTCTTTTTCTGAGAATGTGTATTTGAGACTTGCAGCACTAATATATTGTGAGGGTTTTTTTCATGTCTGTTTATTGCAACTGTTAAAGAAGGTTTTCTTCTTTTCTTTTCTTTTCTTTTTTTACGATTAATAGTTTCATCTGAAATGTGAAAGGATTACCAGTGGTAGTAGCATGAGGAAAGTGTGAACAGAATGTGTACTAAGACTGTGTTGGATGTGACAACAAGTGCATTATTGTATATATTTGGCTTGAACTGCCAAATTAAGTACAACCCCAGTGTTTGCCTACATGATGATGGAATGAAACTTTACTTCTGGAATGGTATAGAAGACTCCGCCCATGTTCTAAAGCCGGATTGTTCTACATGAAAGGGATCCTTGATAAAGTCCAGGATGCGTAGTAGAGGCTACGGCTGATCTAAACACAGGTAAGACTACAGCAAATCATACTTTATCATACCCACATTTTATTTGGGCTGCTTACTTTTTAAAAAATTAAATGAAGATTTGAGACCTATTCATTACCATTCAAAAGTTTGGAGTCTAAGACTTTTTCATGTTTTTGAAAGAAGTCTCTTATGCTCATCAAAAAATACAGTGGAAATTGTAATTTTATGAAATATTAATACAATTTAAAATAGCTTTTATTAGAAATCATTCTAATTTGCTGATTTGACGCTCAATAAATATTTCTTTGTGCTGCTTAATATTTTTGTAGAAAAATATTCATAAAAATACTCACTTTAAGAATTCATAAAAATAAAAATAAAACTTACCCCAAACTTTTGAACTGTAGTGTATATAAGATTCTTGGAAGGTTGATATATGAGACAGGTGAAAAGATTATGACAATAAAAATATATCCTGTGTGTAATAATAATTTATATAAATGTTTTAATGACTGGTGAATGTTTATTTCGTTTTTTCATGTAATAAAGAATTCTATAAAAGACCACAAAAATTATGTTAAAGACCATATTTTGACTTGATTTTGTCGTAAACTATAAACTAACTGACTATATCTTTCTTATCTCTTTCAGTGTGGGCTTTGCAACTCTTAAACCGAGACTAAATACAAAAACAGGGTGAAAACTGAAAGCAGAGGACATTTCATTCCATTGACTTTGATTGTGAAGACAAATGAAGGAGATTTCGATTATCCGTGACCCTGTGGGTGGAGAGGCACTATGATGCTCATCACTGGTTCATACTTTGTTGCATGATGTTCTGCAAAATATATTATATAAGTTTCAACAATAAAACAATAGTCTCATATGTTTTAGAAAAAATATGAAAAAAACTTTTCGTACCTGTGCCTCTTCACCTTGGGTGAAGCCAAAGCAGACTGCAGACATGTTTTTCTTCTCTGTTTACTCTTCTTCTTTCTTTTTTTCAATTCTCTGCTTTATGTTCTGGAATTGGTCCATTGCACAGAACTCAAGTATTGTCTGAAATCTTTGTTACTACTACTCTTGTTTTGGTGGAATGCTATTCTTTGTGGCATGAGAGCTTTACGATTTTGCAAGCGGCTTTCCATTCTGTCATTTGCTCTTTTCTAGTCTACACTTGTGAGAAATGTCAGATTAACAAGGACCGAATACTTTCTGCCAGGCCTTCTCAGGGCTCTCTTGAAATTGTGAAACTTCACTAATTGCTTTGATAAGCCTGTCTAATGACTTAAAGCCTGTCATAATTTCACTGAGCGACCAGAAGTGTTGCATATGCTTGTTTGCATCATGCATGGCTTTTTTTGTACTGACCAGTATTCCCTGCTTGATAAAAAAAGAAAAGAAAGAAAAAGGCGGTCATCTCAGTTCATTCAGTTCATCTCCCATGGCTTTAAATCTGCAATTTCTTTGTGAGTTTTTGTATTACAAAATTTCCCTTTTCTTGCATTTCAAGATATCTTTAAAAATGTTGCTGTTTTTTTTTTTTAGGTAATTATGTTAAGTAACTTATTTTGCTTGTACAAAAAGTTGATATTTATTACCATTGTACATATGCCCTTATTTTTTATATATGTATATATCTTCAGAAAATAAAAGTAGAGATCAGATCACAGTGAGTAAGTCGTGTATGCTTATATGAGTAACTGTTTAAAGCAGAACTAAGTAGGAATTCCGTTTTTGTCAAACAGCGACCCCTAGAGTCGCTGTGGAGTACTTGTACTGTCGTAAATAGCACTCACGCAGAGATGGCTCTGCACTCACGGCCGGATCCCCTTCCCCTGTACACCGGTACCTGTTCAGTAGGATGGACGCTGTAACGAGTGGAAATAAGGTATGGCCCCTTTAAGAGCTGCGCGCGCCCAAAACCTCATGTATACGGCGCCGGGTTATTTCTGTTTGATGCTCATTTTATCAGATCTGTTTTTTTGCCGTAAAACAATTCGTTACTTCGCGAGACCTGATATCACACGATACTTCCTAACACTGAGGCCAAGGGTGGTTTTGCGGCTCACAGGCACCAGGGGGGTGCGAGACGACCACCATTCAACACGAAATCAGTAATATAAACATTACAATGACTCCAAAGCTGTTCGGTTAAGGTAAAAAAGTGACTTAGTTCACCTTTAATTGACTTAAAAGAGGACCTATTATGCTTTTTTTTACATTTTCAACTTTCTTTACTGTGTTATGTTGCTGTTTGAGTATGAAAAATGTCTAGAAAGTTAACTTACAAAGCACAAGGTCACTCCAAAGGGAGTTATTCTCTATATCAGTAGGCTAAGCACTGTTTCTGAACTCCCTGAAATGCCTCATTTGTAGTCTTGAGTTTTCTTCCGGGAACATACACGTCTCAATATTCTTCATTTAAATAATTCCTACTTAAGGCATATGCAAAATAAATGAGCGAGGCCTGTTTGAGTTGCGTTAGAAGTGTGTTGAATTGTCCCATTGCCTGCGAGCTTCTCCTCCTGTCTGTACAGTAATTTCTGTGCAGCGCGACAGAGAGTCGAGTGGTTATGACGCAATCGTTAGCCTATTTTTACTAAATCTGTTTCTACGGGGCCATAATGTAACATAGAAGGTAATGGAGCCCTTTATACATTGTCGTGTTTCTTTAGAAATAAAAAATGGACAAATGGAGTCTTTAAACGCCTCAGATGTAAAGTTATTCGCTGTCAAAGTGACGCCAAAATGAATGGGAGTCAATGGAAATGCTAACGCAAGTGAAGTTCTGCTACAACATGGCGGCACCCGGCCGGCTTCAACTTCCGGTCGATGGATTACCCCCTTGGTTGAAACTCGTAGTTTTGGTAAGAGGCGTGACATTTCCGAAGCACCCTGGAAGTGGTTGACGAATCGCAACACACTGATCCAGCCGACCAATCAGAGCACATTACGCTTTTCGGAAGGCGGGGCTTCATTGAGACCGGAGCTAAACAGAGCGTTACTGACAGACTGGTAACAGAGGTGCCGCAATAATATAAAATATGTAAAAAAATAATGGTTTTTTTTAACATTCAAGCAGGAAAACCAATAGACCCCAAAAACAAAATCAAAACTAAAAGGGCATATAATAGGTCCTCTTTGAAATGCCATTGAAATGTCATGTGCAACATTTGTTGGTAATGCAAAATGGCTATAGTGGTTTTCATATTGCTTCTGCTAAACATATGTCAAGACAGTCATAGTGACACTTACCTTAACTCTTAGACAACCGCTAGTGCAGTCTTTCCTGCGTAGTATCTATGCTTTTCTCTTTCATACTGTGCATCTAAACACACTCTCACGTGTACAGCAGGGCAGACACAGCTGTGTGTGACATCAGCGGTGCATCATCACTGTCTACACAGCTGGCCTCTACTTCTGGAACAATCTCTATACATTATAGGACACCAGTCACAGCTGACTATAAAATGAGGAGAGGAAGAGAGAAACCCAGAGATCACATATTATTTAACCATCACTGACTTCTCGATTACCCCACTTTAAAAGCCCCCGATAACCAATTCCAATTGTTTCTGGGCAAATTCAGCCACAAATGAATAAAGCTCATAAAGACAAAAACTGCATTGGGTGTAAAATCCTCGAACAACCTCTGCATGGTCTGGCCCTATTACCTTCAGTCATTGATAGATTTCCAAGGTGTGTCTGCAGAAAGTTCAATAAAACACTTCTGGCTCCGGCAGACTGATCTCAAGCCAAGCCTGTTTGCCAAGATCTCTGCAGATGTCCATCGCTCTGTAATAGGAAAAATAGAAATATTACATTCATATATGTGTATAATTTTATCTGGAATATCAAGAGGCATCCAGCTGCAGCCCCGCAGACTCACTTCTCGCTAGACACCAGTGGCTGGACACCAGTGGATGGACAGCCTACGTCATTTCCGTATCGTCATTTCCGTATCGTCATTCACTTTTCAAATTTGACGCGCCATGCAGATGTCAGCGGTAAGAAAAAAAATATAAACTGTCGATGATTTATAGGTCATGTCAGAATTCAAATGCACAAACTAGCTAGTTAAAAAATCGTCTTGTTTTCAAGGTACTTTGTCGTGTTTTTTAAAGGTATTAGTGAACTCTGGTGTGCCTCAATTCTAGAGCTAGGTTGCTACAATAGAACACTTGTACTCTAATATAGTTAAATATAAACATGCTCATTCTAATCATATTGTACATCTGTTCTTGCTTTAGGTGTGGTGAATGTCAAAAAACTGCCCCAGGCTGTAAGAGACATGTGTGTCCCTTTTAAAATTGTACAATGCAGAAATTGCAGATGTTCTTTCAAAGACTGGGTGGGGTACCGTGGAAACGGAAGACGTGGAGACCTGGCTGCGAGGGTTTTATACAGACCCTGAATTTCCTGAGCATTGCCCAGACTGCCAGTTTTAGGGGGCAGGAATAAGGTGTGGTGTGCACAGTGTGCAATAGTTTATTTGGTCTATAGTCTATAGTTTAT